ATGGGGTAATCGAAATAAGAAGAAAAAATGTCAGGAGGGACAGATAAGGAGCCGCAGAACAGGAGGTGGAGGTGGGAAAGGGTGAGTAGGGGGGGGGGGAGGGGGGGGGAGGGGCGGAGCGGGGCGGGGGGGGGGGGGGGGGGGGGGGGATGCGGTCATCTAGACCTTTGAGATAAGGGGTGTGGTCTCAAAATAATTTTTTCCGCCTTTTGGGCCTCACTGGTCTAAAAATAAGGGAGGGACTCGGGCCCCCCTGGCCCCTTTTCCTGGATCCGCCACTCGTGGGGACAGGTTTGTTGAACAGAAATTCGTGCCCTCCCAACAACTTTCACAAAACATCGCCCTTTAAATGATATTCAGATATAAACGCAAGTTTTTCTCGTGTAAATGAGGTTTTGATTTTAATTATTAGAGGCGACATATATTGTGCTCATGTTCTCTCAAGTTCAGTCTCTTACTAATCTCCATGTCATATCATGGCCACTCTGCCGCGAGACAAAGACTTCGTGACTTAACATCAGTGGTAGGTTGTGGTTAATCAGTGAAACGCTGTAACCAAAAAGGAGCTAATCAGTGTGGCGCAGCTTCTCGTCGTTCTTGAAGATCACGTTTTCAATGTGTATTTTCGTACTAAACAATTTCCTTTGGTTGTATACTTTATCTTTGCAGAGAAAAAAAGTGACCAGATTCTTTTCATGGCTACGACGACGTGGGTCTTGTTGGAGACCTAGAACAGAGGAGTGACTAAAACCTATTAAATAAGTTTCATTTTTTCTATATATTTTATTATTTGATTGATTGAGAATTTTATAAAGGCTGGTTTTCTTCTAGCGACGGAGCTTATGATCTGCTGAAAACAGCGTTCTGATTCCGCTTACGATTCCGTCGCTTACGTTCCGCTTATGATCTGGTGAAAACCAGATTGTCGAAGTCGGAAGCAAAGACGAAAAAAACTAAACCAATCACAATGCGTCGGAACGTGTATTGTGATTGGTTTATCCTTCCGCCTCGATCTGCTTCCGACTCCGATCACTAGATCATAAGCGTAACATAAGTAAAGGAGTCCAAGAAATGGAAACGTTCTCATTCTTCTGACTCCGATCCCGTTGCTCTTTATGACTCCGCTTACGACTCCGACTCCGACTCCGACTCCGTCTCTAGTGAATACCAGCCTTTTTTCGAAAACGAGAAAAAAATACAAAATCACAAAAACAAATAAAAACAAACTGAAAAAAACATAAACAAAAGACAAAAACAAAGAAAAAATAAAACAGAAAGCACGGGAAATAATAGTGGAATTAAAAAAATAGTTCAATAGCTTTCTGCTTTTTTGCCATTTTTTTTATTTTTCATAAATATTGTCGGCTACACTCTGAAAGAATAATGCAGTCAAATTTAAACAAACTGTCACTCCAACGGTTACTTCAACTGCCTGGGCCCCATCATGCCTAGCAGGCCTAGTATGGACAAAGAAAAAACTGACGATGGTCACACGGATCTGGATCATGGACAAGATGCAGACCAGAAGGTACCATTGTGAAAAACAATTCGGGTGTCAGTAAAACGAGGGGTCGGGTGAGGGTTGACATTAACCGGAACCTAACGCTAACCCTAACGCTAAAACAAAACTGAATGCAGGGATGGCACTACGGCAAAGGGGTGATATTATTAGAGGGATATATTTTCGCTAAAAAAATTAGCCTTCCTCAGGGCCAGAACTTTACCGAGAGACAACATCTTTTAGCGGCTCCTAAAATTTGATCCGGCAAGAGGAACCAGTCAGTTATATTTACGCGTTGCATGAACCTCTGCATTCAAACAGTTTTTCCTAACGCTAACCCTAAATAACCCTGACCTATCCCGAAACCTAAAACTAAACCTTACCCTAACCCTAATCCTCAATAACCCTAAATAAACCTAACCTGACCCTAATCCTAACCCTAAAACACAGCATTCATAAAAAGAGATAGACGCCCATCCCGGCCCCGGTCCCGGCCTCGACCCCGCGTTTTACTAACACCCAAACAATTCCGGTCCTCAAAAAGCTTACCCCCTAAAGTCGGGTGCTATAACTCGGAACTCAGAACTTGTTCTTCGCACGGCGCCTTTTTCCTAGACTGCGAGCACTTTCTCTTTTTCTTCAGATTAATTGAGGGGAGAGCACGATGAGTGTACCACATGGCCACTGTAAATTTTGATGCTATCATTCCAAAATTTTGTTCTGAATTTCCAAATCCCATTTGCAATTCTAGCGTTTATTTCGTTTTTTTTTTTNACAGTAACTACGTTGAATTCCAAATACGGTGCGTAAATAATCAATGATCATGGAATCGAGGCAACATAATTCCAGAATGCACATACCGTAAGAAAAAAAAGGGAACATAGAATGGAGGCAACATAATTCCAGAATGGGGAATGCAGAATTCAAATACCGTAAATGAAACAAGGAACATGGAATCGAGGCAACATAATTCCAAAATGCAGAATGCAAATGTCGTAAATAAAACTAGAATCATGAAATCGAGGCAACATAATTCCCGAATGGGGAATGCAGAATTCAAATACCGTAAATGAAACAAGGAACATGGAATCGAGGCAACATAATTCCAAAATACGGAATGCCAAATGTCGTGAATAAAACTAGAATCATGGAATCGAGGCCACATAATTCCTGAATGCAGAATGCCAAGACGGTAAGTGAACAACCAGCATAGAATCAAGGCACCATAACTCTAGAATGCTAAATACCATAAATAAAAACAAATGGAATAAAAGCATACAAGGAATGGCCATGTGTGACACTTATTGAGCACGCACGCGAGCCTCGAGTGGCGAGACCGCGAGACGAGAAACGAGGGCGTCTCGCGCCTTCAGTCACGCGTGTGGTCATTTGCGTGTCTCGTGCATTTTGCTCGATGGACCAAGAAAAAAAGAGAGCCTGCTCGTAGTCTAATTTTCTCCCGACCCGACTGACTGCTTCTGGGTCCATGTGCCATTGGTGTTGGGCGCAGATCTTTCGCCGAATTGCGATAAGAGGACATGACCTAAACCGAAAATTGTCTTGTGTGACTTGTGTCTCTTGTCATGTTGGACACCCGCTTATAAAGCGGAAGTGATTCTATTTCCCGAAATTTGTAAATTGCTTGGTGCCTTTAGTCTCGGGAAACATCAGGACTCGAGGAAAAACAAAGAATGATTCGATTGAAACCATCTTGCCAAAACTTTGGGCTGAAAACGGTTCAATTCCGGTTGGAAGAGCTGTTGTCACTCGGTCTTGCAGGTCGGTCACCACACCTATTACGTGTTGCGTCTCACATGCATGGGAAACCGTGATCATCACATGACAAACTTCAGGACCAGGATTAGCGATTAGCGAGCGTAGCTTCTGGGAAGTGATCGTTGTTGTCATCTTCCAAAATGATTCGTTCTGTTTATCTTCTTTTGCTCAGTGCCTTTGCATCTTCAACAATCAAGAGAGTTCCGACACTATCAGATCCTCTAGCTCTCGATTATCAGGATTATTTTGCCGGCTGGAAGCTTGAGGAGCTTCAAGTTGAAGATTACGTGAAAGGTTCGGTTTGGCCGAAACCTCAAGGAGAAACGCCTAATGGCGAAGTTTACTCTCTTTCGCCACAGAATTTCAAATTCACAATAACCGGACAAAGTAGTGATGTTCTGCAAGATGCCATTTCTCGCTACAAAAAGTTGACTTTTCCCGATAGTGACGATGGTGACAGCTCTTGTGAAAGCTCTTGTGAAAGAAAAAACGCTAAAGCGCAAGGCTTGTCAGAGATAACGCAGCTAACTGTCAAAGTCATCAACAAGTACGAGAATCTCACTTTAGAAACCGACGAATCATGTGAGTATCGTCAGTCACTTCTCCTTTTTTGTTAACTTGATAGAGGAGGTTGATATGAGGTCTTTTCTTTAGATCTATTTTCAGGTGATATCACACAGCTGTATCACAGTTTAATTGGGGTTATTCAAAACTATAAACTTTTAACAAAGTTGTTTGGATTATTCATGTTACTCCAGTAGCTTAAATATTTTTTACCGCTGTTTTGATAGATTGTTCGTGTGTTTGTTTGCTTTAGCTCACTGACTGTTGCCTTAAGCTTTATACCCTGTTGGCAAACATTCTACTTCAATTCCACCGATATCCTAACTATGTTTACATACACAATATTGACAAACTTCAAGGTGCTAGTTACATAATTTAAGCTCAATACTAGCCAGAGTCTGTAGATATAACCACTCTCTTTTTAAAATAGGTTTGTTTAAGTTGATGTGTATCAAGGGCCACTAAGAGAGATTTTTTGGTAAATGCTTGACATGTACTGAAGGAAAGTTAATAAGATTATTTAATTTTTGTTGATCGCTGAGTCTGAAAATACCTGCTTAAAAGTTGACAGGTTTTCTAATTAAAAATAACAGGTAAAGTAATATAAACTTGTGTCAAAAGAAAAAAATGATTTAGCCTTGAGAATTCAATTTGTCTGGTCATGTGAGAGAAAAGTTGCCTACAAACCGAGACATACTGTGGCAATGGGTTATTCCAGAAAAAATTCCAACCCCCCCTTCCCCCTCCTTCCATCCAGATTCCCAACACTGCTTGAGCCCCCCCTCCCCTCAGGATTTTCAAGTTCAAGGACCCCCCCCCACCAAATCCTATCTGGATTTCCATAAAAATTTCAAGATACCATAACAGGCTTACATGTTTTGCAAATAAGCTCACATTTGAGTGAACTTCTCTTTTTTTCTAGACCAGGTGAAATATACAGTAATGTAGACAACAGTACAGCTCAAAGCTAACTATGTACACAAATAAAATCTCCTCTTCTTTGTTGAGAAAAAATGACTATGAAAGAAAGAGGACACTTAGTGGGATATTACATGATGGGTAATATGGTTGGCTGCACCTCTTGCCTTTCAAAATGCCACCCAGCTTTCTTGTTAGGTGTGTTTAGTGGTAAATCACCCTGAAATAGCATGGACCGTGGGAAAATGTTTAATTCAAGGTAGAAATGGTCGTTTTTTTTATGAATTATGTGATTTTTCTCACTATTTTCAAGTTATCGCACGTCGCTTCTACAAAAGTAACAAAGGCAAACTTATGGATGGAAACTTTAAATAAATGTGGTTAGAGGTGTGTAGTTTGAAAGAATAAGCAGTTTTTTAAAACTTATCAATTGATTGAAGCAATGGAAACAGGGATGAATGTAAGTCCCGAGGATGTAGTTTTAGATTCAGAATCGCCCCTCCCATCTTAATTTCTAGAGCCGTTAATCCCCCATCCCATGAGATTTTCCAGCATGCCTTCCATTGGGGGAGTGTGGACTTTTTCTGGAATAACCCAATACAAAACTAATGAAATCAGTTTAATTAGATATTTTGTATACGTTTTGGGGGGATTTAATTTTGCCTGTTTATGTTATACTAGTCAGGGGGAGTGTGGATTTCTTCTGGAATAACCCAATACAAAACTAATGAAATCGGTTTAATTAGATATTTGGTATACGGGGCTTCTGATATTTTGCGCGGTCGCGGAGCCGCGAAATTCCGCAAAATTCACAAAAACACGAAAAATACCGCAACATTTGGTAAAAACCTTATCAAATAGATGTCTGTACAACATATTTGAAACTTAAGTCAGCTACAGCTGTATTGGGGCTTTTTACTTGCCATAAACTTGCAAATTTATCTTAAAACTTTGTCACTGAAACGTGCAAACAACGTCCCGAAACTACCAGGTGTTGATTATGTTATGAAAAACTGGGCACTATAGCCATGATTTAAAGGCTTTGCCATTGGTTCATTTCTTGAGCGTATTGTTGTTGAAAGAGCAAATGATAACCTCTGTTAGAAAAACGTTAAAAACTTTGATCTGATCAGCGCAAAACCGATTGATTTCCAGCGAAATTTGCCGTGAAAATAGCCACAAAATCGGCTGTTTTTACCGATTGCTTTTTGGCAAAGTTTGCCCTGAAATTTCCCGTGAAATTCTTGGAAAATTGGCCGATTTTTCATTGAATTTGTGCCTAAAAATCCCAGGAAATTTGACTTTTTTCTCTGTGACCTATCAGAAACCCTGTGTATATGTTTTTGGAGGATTTAATTTTGCCTGTTTATGTTATACTGGTCAGGGGGAGTGTGGATTTTTTCTGGAATAACCCAATGCAAAACTAATGAAATTCGTTTAATTAGTTATTTTGTATACGTTTTGGGGGGATTTAATTTTGCCTGTTTATGTTATACTATACTGATTTCTCCAGTGTCCCGTTCTGAATAGATTTGGACCTCCTTTGCCTGAAGTGTACGGCACATACTAAATGTGATTCATTTAAAGCTCTGAGAGTCATTGCGGGCAAAGAACAGAACATTTTTCTTTTGTTTTTATTTCAACATACAGTACTTCCAGTGAAGAAGAAGGCTAGAGCACCCTTGAAATGTCTGTTTTTTTTTTCCCAACATTTCAAGTGCATACACTGTATTTTAACGAAACTTTGACTCAAATTATTACTTTGCACAGTTTCTTTTAAATTTTGTAAATACTCCTCACTAATATAAGATCTGCCAAAGAGAATTCCCTGCTGTGCTATATTTTTTAGACAAAACTGGAAACTTAATCAATAAAGGGGAAGTATTAATCTCAGCTTGACTATCTCAAAGATCCAAACATACATGAAACACAAGTTACACTGACCCGCTAATAATGAATAGCCAGTCTGAGATATACCGTAGCTGATTGATCAGGATCTTGTTTTCCACTTGTGGTCGCAACTCTCTGATAATTTATTTCGTTCCATTTCAGACCAGTTAGATGTGATGTCTCCAACTTCTTCTCTGACTGCATACGATGTGTGGGGAGCACTGCGAGGTAATAGCTGTTATTGTTATTGGTCCAAACTAATTTTCTGATTCACTGAGTTGTATTGTTCCCTGCAAGCTCAGGTGAATAATTGCCACCTTAAAGCGGGGGGTTCTCGATCATGCGCATGTGCGCCATGACAGCTTCCAGAATAGATCATATGGGCCAACACTAAATTCGAAGAAAATATCAACTGTGAATCTGTCTTTAAATTTGCTCATCTGTTGCCGTATGTAAGCAAAGTCTGCTATTTCTAAAGTACTTGTGAGTGTTGTTTTGTTTTCGGAGAAGGCATTAAGGAAACAAAAAATCAATTTCGTCAATAGCATCTCAGAAGCCATGTCGCCGCGTTGCGACCAGCAACAGAATGTTCTCAAGAGTCTTTGGAGAAAGAGAAGCTTAGCCGATGGATGTGGTATAAGGAGTTGTGTGTGGCTTACAAAAAGAATACACCACCCTTTGAAAGTGGTAAAAGGCATCAGTTTGTTAAACTCTGATTTGATTTATGACTCCGACCTGTAGTTGTACGATAAAGTATGCAACAGGCCGCGCCATCTTCACCGATCTGGTACACTTGAAATCCTTATATCTTTGCTGTATGATCGTATATGTTTAAGAATAATTATTGATGTTTTTAAAATAAATTATTGGCTGAATATTCTGTTTATAATCTGGTTTCTTTATGTGTTCCACTCAATAACATTTGTTTTGTGGAACACTGACCCGACGAAACAAGAAATTATTTGTTTGTTTGCTGATAAGCAATTGAAATTTATGCTCAATTTAGGATAATCTTTATACTCATACGCTGTGTGTTTTTGTCACTGGTCAGGTGCTATTTGCAGCTGTTTCTAGGTTTATATGGGGCGAACAGAGAGATCAGTTATAAAAGGGTTGTTTACAAATTTTGTTTACTGAACGGTCTCTGCTTTGTTAGCTTGGGAATGTAAAAGACCTGGTAAAAATACATGAAGGTAAATGTTTGTTTCAAAGCAGGACAGGGCTGTAAATCTTATTCTTATCGGCGGCAACATATATGTGAGGAATAGCAAAGAATAAATATAAATTATGTGGATATATAAAAACAACAAATGTGGATATATAAAAAGATCGAATGTATTCGAATTATGTAAATTTGCTTGCGCGCATCTAACTCCCTTCTGATGGGTTTAAAAACAATCAGCTATTGTCAGAACCCACACATGCACAGTATTGTGAACCTGCCGCTTTAAGTCAACCAGGAAGTACCCACTACTCTTCCATTGTAATTGTATTTCTTAGCTTTTTGATGAAAACAATTATTATATGGTATGAATTTAAATATTAATATTGACAAAAATTGCATGTTACTAAATGCACAGTATTCAGGCCCCCTCCCCCTGAATTAAACTTTTCTTAGGGGAATCCTGTCGACTACCCTTAATCCTGGCTCTTCTGACTGAAACTTGTTTGCCCTGTTGGATTTTTCTCCTTCTACAACTTTAAACTTTTCAGGAAAACACTGCTGACGTCATTTCTGCAAATGTTAATGTTGTGCAACCTTTCCAGTGAACACTTGCACATCATTATGATTATTTGATTATACAGTATGTGGTGAGAATTTACATAATTTGCCACAGATTCAAGTCTACAAGCAGTTTTAATGAACAAACATTTCTTTGAGTTGTTTCAAAGAGGCTGTCTACTTTCTCATCTTTACCCTGGCTAATATAGGTTATTTTAAAAGCAATAAAATGCAAAACATTGCTTTAATTATATTTTTACTATTAATGATTTAATTTACCTTTTTTATATAATTATGAATATTTAAAATAGCCAAAAAAAATTATTATTTTTTTTTCCAGGGTTAGAAACATTTAGTCAGGTTGTTTATCAGGATCCAAGTGGTTCTGTAAGTATAGTATTAGTTATTTAAGGCTGTTTTTGTGGTATTTTATCCTTCTCTTTTTGAGTGGTTCCACCTGCACAGTAAGACAGTGTCCATGTCTGGCAAGAATATCAGAGAAACTGTTAGGTGTAACAGGCAAGAAACAGTTTGTTAACGTTTCATATTTTGGCATTTTTTCATGAGGCAGAGACTCTAATCCTCTCGCAAAGAAATTCCCCAGACCGGATTAACTGAAGAAGCAACTCTCATCCAAGACCTCCTGTACCGGATCATTGCTGATTGTCAAACATGGGCTTTGTCCCCACTTAAGTCCCTGCATTGACCAGGTTGTGGAGGTGGGGGAGGTGGGGGGAGGGATTTACATCGATTGGTGCATGAGTTAACGGCAAATTAATTCATCTCGGTAAATAAATAAAACTATTATTAAAAAATGAAAAGTAGAAAACCACTATTAGCTAGTTAGCTTTGAAGTGTTAATACAAATGTAGCTTAAATTGAGTATTTCTCTTGTTAGATTTTGGTTGCATTGGTATTATACACTGTACTTAACCATGGTTAAAAAAAATTAATGTGTCGCATAAAATGTGTAGACCAGGAACAATGAGACATCAGGGATTAATGGAAATATGTCATGTGCAAGGGAAATTCAAAGTTAGCTTGCATCATGAATCCTGTTTATCAAGAGCTGCTCACACTGATGCAAATCCCAGAATTACTTTTTCTTAGACATGGCGAAAACTTGTAATTTTTTACTCTCTATAACTAGAGAGATCTCTGAAGGAACATAAAATGCCTTAAGGTGCCATGCCATGAACACTGGCATTCTTTTGAACGTAATTTGCAATGAGGCATTTTTTTTTGCGGGGGAAGCAAGAAAGTTGGCAGACGGAGAAAGGAAAAAAGGACGCCTGATACATTTACTTTGTGAGTTGTCTGCTGCTCCCTATTTAAGGTATCTGTCAACATTTGTGTCATCATGTCAGATTTTAACAGAAATTCAAGTGGTTTGTAACAAAGCTAAGGCAGCTAATTGAGGTAAGCGGTGAATGCTTAGTTGATACAGTAGCGTTATCAAAAACATAATAAATTATAATGAAGACCAATTTAGCACTGCAAAAATAATTCATTGAAAACCATCATGGAACAACAGAATTCTGTATTTTACTGTGAGTGTTCAAAGTACGTAGGAATTGATTTTACAGCAAAAAATCTTTCATGGTCTTTTATCATTTTGCATAAGTGTGGGTGTAAAATCGTCATTTGTTTTACACAGTTCCACGAAGTTGAATTTGATTGGGAACGGGCAGGAAAATCAAAGACAAGGCTCTTGACTTAAATTCTGCCTCATCCAAGCAAGAAGGTGTCAAAGAAGAAATGGCAGATATACTTACCAGTGATAAATAACAACTCGTCCTCATGCATCAGCCCACAAGGCGTTTCTCTGTGCATTGTTGCCTTGATTCACTGAAAACAAGCCCAAGCTTGCTGATAAATTAATTTATTTCCTCAATCACCTTGTGGTTTCTCTCATGAAGAGACGAAGGGCAAACCTATCATATTGCGCCAGAAGGCAGATTAGTTGTCTGTAACCAATCAGTGCAGGGCTCCAAAGGCTCTTTTGTTTTTCGACCAATCAGACAAAGGTCCAGATTCTGGACTATGGGCAGATGACGCGTAGAGTGAACGTATCAGGCGTCCTAGAGGGAACTTTGAATTGCAGTTCCACAAGCCCATCAGGTGGCATCATTCATGGTTTATACCTTTCAGGCGACCACACTATTTCAATCAGATATATATCTATGACACTACATGTAAAATTATGTACATGTAAAGTATCGGTAGACAGGAATTTTTTTTTTACTTAATAGTATGTTGCCAATGGGACCAAGATTGTTGACTTTCCACGGTTTCATCACAGGGGATTTCTGATTGACACCTCAAGACACTATATAAATGTCCCAGTAATTCTCAAGTTCTTGGTAAGTAAACTCAAGAAGTTATATGTCACACAAAGCCAAGAAAGTTAATGTTATTTACAGTGGTTGAAAGTAAATGAGAGTTCCAAGAGCTGATAAATTTTTGCCCCTCCCTGGGTTCCCACTTAATTGGAAACTTTCAGTTTGAATTAAAATCTGGAATTATGTTTTTCAAGGAGAGGGAAAAAGCAGTTGAGATTTTGTACCTTTACAAAAAGATTTCTCACTAACCATGGAAGGACACCAACAATTTATCTGCATTGTTGGAAGACAATAAATTGCCGTCACCATGATCACATCTCTGCTCCAAGAGTTGTATAAAAGTTACATGAAAGAATAATGCTTCTCTCTAATCAGATTGTTGGATTGTGACCTATGGGGAAATTTATTTGACGTAAAAATTAGCTTTTCATAATTTTTTTATGAATGTTTGTTTTCTAACTGCCTTAATTTTACGTATCAGGATGCTTTGTCATACAGCAAGTTCAATGTTCTTCATTGGCACATTGTTGATGATCAGTCATTTCCTTATGTCAGTGAAAAATTTCCAGAGCTCAGTAACGTAGTAAGTAACATAATAAGTTTATGTTATGTCCCCTTGCCCCCTGCTCCTCTCGAGCAAATGAAACTCCTGTTTCGAGTCCAGTTTCCAATGGCCAGCCAATTTTTTTTTGTTGGGTATCTCATTATTGTGATGACAGCTGTACATGTGCGTGACATCGTCATCTTTTCTTTGTTTACTTTTGGGTGGCTTTATACTGATATCTTTTTTGTTTGGAGCATTTGTGGTTTTTGTACATATCTCCCAATTTGTGGTTTGATTTATGCCATCTGTGTTTTTTTGTTGTTGCTGGAATTATGTTCCCGTTCTCTCTGCAAGTTCTGCTTTTTGTCGTTTGGTTCATGACCATCCATTTTCTCTATGTTTTGGTTGGTACAGTATATCTAAGTCGGCCTGATATGTCATTTCCTGTGTAATCCTAGGAATCTTGGCCATTTCTTCTGTTTGTTGTGCTTTGTTTTTTGCTATTTTTAATCATTGTTCTGGTTTGGTGCCATCCAGTATATTTTTGTTTGACGGGTTGTTTTTGTCTGCATATCTAGAGCATTTTTAGTGACACATGTACAGGGACTGACTGAAAAAAAAATTCACCATCACGTTGTTTTCTACGATTGTGGATAAGCGCTTATCAATTTTCCAATTCTAACAGTATGCAGGATGTTTGTCAAATAAACCTTAGGTTTTAATTTGTAGTGGCCTTAAGGCCGATCATGATTTTTGCTTATGACTCTCATGCACAACTAGCATGTGTCATGACTTTCGACCATCCTCATGCGCACAATTTTCACTCATGTCATCCACAGTGTCGTACAAATGTTGTGGGTCTAATTTACATGACACGATCTGCTGTGAAGTCAGGACGCATGCTAGTCGCACATGATATTCGTAAGCAAAAATCCTACCGCTTAAATCTGCCTTAAGCTCCCACGAGTCTCCTCTAGGTTGGTGGTAGAGCATTTGGACTAGTAACCAGAGGGTCTTAGGTTGCCACCGCCAGTGTTGCTGACTAAAAGAAAAACATATCTATTATAGGCAGTATGACAGTCTATGATATTAAAATAAGGAACTGACAACTTGTTTCTTTCAGGGAGCTTGGAATAACAAAACGCACATTTATACTAAAGATGACATTGCTATGATCTTAGAGTATGCAAGGTTAAGAGGAATTCGAGTGGTTCCAGAGTTTGATACACCTGTAAGTGTGTATTTGGTGTCTGAGTTGCAGTATGAATTATGGACACATCAACATATACTTCTGCTGTTTTTTGTCCTTAAAATTTTTAATTAATGTTCTTTTCTTTCCAAAGATTTTGTCTTTGGACTTCATCAAGTGCAGTATTCAGTTTTGGAAAGACAATATTATTTTACAATTGACCTTTTAGCTACCAAAACTGTTTAGCTAAGATTTTTTTTCTTTCTTCAAGGGGCACACATTTTCATGGAGAAGCATTCCTGATCTGTTGACACCGTGTTATTCACAAGGAAAACCTTCGGGGTAAGAAATCATCTTCTCTTTTTGTGGCTTTTCAATAAGAATATTGTCAGTAAGTTCCAGTAAAATGTCTTCGTGGGACGTTTTTCTGTCTGTAATAGTTCATGTTGTGTATATTTGTGTGTAATTTGAAAGGATAATAATAATAATAAAAAACATAATTCATATTTTGCAGCTGTCCAAGGTTTATTCCATCCCTATACACTGTAAAGTGTCTAAGCTCTATTTATTGGCCAGTTACTAGCCAGGACCCGGTTGTTCAAACATTGGATAGGTCCATTGGATAAATCACACTATCCAGCACGGCCCAGTTGTTCGAAGGCCGATTAGCGCTTAACCTGGGATTAAATTTATTCCGGGTTTCTTTTTCTTGTGTTCAAAAGCATTTTCTCGGATAATTTTCTGTCCTATTTTGACAGCTTCCAATCGTCAACTTGTAGACAAAAATAATTAAAACTGAAATGCTTTCTAAGCTTTCAAATCAGAATTCAAATCTCGCACTTACCCTGGGTTATCTTAACCCAGCTTTGAACAACTCGGCCCAGATATGTAATAGAGAAACCAGTTGCGTTACCCTCTCGATAGAGATTTATCCAGTGGATAATGTTATCCACCTTTTGAACAACTGGGCCAGGGTTCCAACAGACAAATCACTATTAACAGAGCATCTAACGTAAGATGAAATCTTGCTACTACTAAAGGAAAGAGAATGAAATTCAGGGGTGGATCCAGAAAATTCAAAAATTATGGTTGGAGAGGGTTTGGGACACTTGCCAGCTATATACATACTATTTATCTACTGTATCTTAAGAAATAATACAAAATTTTCAGAAAAGGTGTGGGGGAAGGTGGGGGGTCCCTAAGTACACTCCTAATTATCGTCAGGTTGACAGTTACGTTATTACCATCATCATGTTGTTTACAACCTGTGCTTTTTAACAGGGGCTACGGACCTATCAACCCAACTATTGATAGCAACTATGAGTTCCTGGCAGAGTTCTTTCAAGAAGTGGTCAGCAGATTTCCAGACAAATATCTACACCTGGGAGGTGATGAGGTTCCCTTTAGCTGCTGGTAAGCTACATAAACACTGTGTTAACAACACAATAATTATTGTGTTCTTAACGCAGTGTTTAACTGTAGTTGTCTAATAGACTTTATTTTTCTCAAAAGATGATTGATTAATAACCCGTCCTAAGTGCAGCATTGTTCATGTATTTTGAGATTTCTTCTAAAAAAAATTATTTTTTGAAAAATTTGAAATTGAAATGTCAGCTGAATTTGGCTGTAAGGTTGCTTGCCCTCCTCTTGGCTTGTGTAAGAAATTAATCTGATTTGGAAAGCAAACGGAAGCCCAAAGTTACAACCAGTTACAAAGATGCTTGAGACACTGAACCTTACTTGAGCTTAAATGACCTGTTCAAGATGTTGGTTTTGTGGCTCCCCATTCTTGTCTTGTCAAAGTTACTCACAAGAAACTATGAGAAACAATGGTGAATGGAGGAGAGGAAGAGTATGGTTGTTTTTATCTCACGTATGTGTGAATATCTTTAATATGAGGTAAAAAAGACATTTTTTCTTCTGAGTCGTGACGTTTTCCATGGCTGCTTAAAGTTGAAGTTTGTATTTGTTTGCAACATGTTGTTAGTTCGCAGTTACAGATTGTTCTGCAGTGGCAGAGGACTGAAACAAGGAAATGTTTATGAATTTAAAAATTTGGGAATGTTGGTTTTACTTTTGATTGGTTGAGAAAGTGGTGCCAGTTTCGTCAGCCAGTCACAAAGTGTTAAATGAACTTATCAGTCCTATATGTAGTCATATTCTGTGAGATAAATGGAGAGCTTGCTTGCGGACTAAGGTACATTGGAAAGCTTAGGAAAAACAAATATCGGCAATTCAAATGGTTTTGATTTTATTCTGATCGGTTGAGAAAATAGTGCAAGATTTCTCAGCAAAGCATAGTGGTAGAAAACCAGAGCAAACTATTGCCTTCAGTACACAGGGTTCATTTTGACGATTTTGGCTTTGTTATTAGGCAGAGTAATCCCGATATTACAGAGTGGATGGACAAGATGGGCTTCAAACAAAATTACTCTTTATTGGAACAATACTACGAACAGAAGTAAGTCAAAATATTTTTGTTTTTTAATTTGGTTTTTGTTGCTGTTGGTGTTGCTTTCAGCAGTTCTTACCAGGTCCAGATAATGCAATTAAAAAATTAAAAACTAAAATTTCCAATAAAATGCCCTTTTGACGGCCTTTATCAGCAAGCAAGTAAGTCGTGACTAGTTCAAGTCATTTTCAGGGTTTTCAAGGCCTTAGCTAGAAATTTTTGACAGCTGGGGGACAATAAAGCAAGGTCTGGAGCTATGCTCTTTCAGAAAATTTTGTAGTGAATGTAACCTCAGATCAGGCCTAATTTTAGCGATTCTCGTACATTCTCTCTTAAACAGCTTCTGTTTTCGTTTCGCCTTGCCCGCCGAAATGTTATTACAAAGCAAAACGAAAATTGAGCCTGATCTCAGGTTACAATGAATGCAGAGACTTGGAAATACTAATTTTCTTAGATATTCCGTCATAAGTAAAGTTAATCAGTCATAGTTTAATAGGATAGTGTAGGATATAGGTATATAGGATATAGGATATAGTGCTCAAGGTTTGGTAAACTATTGATGCATCGCTATCTGATCAGATGAGTCTAGGATTATCTCCAAATGGATTTCCTTCTAAAATATCGTCATCAGTCAATTGCAGTGTAGTTAATTATGGCATGGAGTCGACAATGTGAATACTTACACATGGAAGTCAGTTAAAAATGAGACCAGGTTCGGTGATTTGTTCCCGTTTTGTTTCACTTGGTAAATGACCTCAGATTCCGGTATGTGATCCATTCCATGATGAATGAGGAACATCCCTAGGCCACTTAAGG